CTTGCAATACAAATTTTTTATTGCAACATCAACTCGTATCAAGTAAACGGTAAATACAAAGTTTTTCAGGATTATTACCTGTATATTTCAGTATGTTTATTGGTAAATTGCTCATAACTGTAAGGCAGAGGCGGCCGAAATGGAAAAATGGGGTATATTATGTACACCCACTAGAAAAACTTTTCGTACATTTTTTTTTACAATACTTGTGCATAAAATTTTTGTTATGCACTTTTATAACACATACAATTTTAGTGCAAAAATGCCGGTTTGAAGTTGATTTTTGATATTTTTTTTTGTCACGCATTTTCTTCCATACAAAGTATGTATTTTATAAATAAACAAGCAGTTTTTTATTAAAAATATTAGAAATGTGTATTGCGAAAAAAATTCTGTACGGAAACTTTTTCTAGTGAGTGTATGTATTTGAGAAAATATGTAAAAAAAAACACAGGCTGGGTAAAAAAAAGCATGTCTCAAGCAGGGATCACACGATTTGTACATTCTAGCACTCACAGAGTGGTATTGTCTAGAAATTTTCATCGAAAATGAGTTCGGCTCAAGAAAACATTTCCAAACAACACCACTCTGTGTCTGCCAAAATGTACAAATCTGTACAAATCGTGCGATCGCTGCTTAAGAAATGTTACAAAAATGACATCCTTCTTATTAAGACTTCGCAAACAAAACAACACTAACATCGCAACACTGCTGCTGGCCAAAACAGCCAAATATTTTCATATTTGTATAATTAATAATAAAAATTAAAATTTTTATTTCTTTGTTTTTGCTACTTTTTTGTCTAAGCATGCATTTTTTTTTCTTAAAAAAAAGAACAACATCGAACCCAAGGAAAGGCTTGATAGAATATGTAAATTCTGTGGCTACTCTGCACTATCAGTTACAAATCGTTGAGAAGTGGTTTACTAAATTCCGTTATGGTCGCGCCAATACTAGGGATGCAGTATGCTCAACGAGTTCTGAAGACGTCATCGTGAATAAGGTGGAAGTTGCTGTAAGTATCTCAACTGAGCGGGAAGGTACAAAACATTTTTCATAAACATTTGGACATGAAAAAGTTATTCGCATAAGCGCAATCGTATTTCCACTCCCAAGAGTCTGTTTGGTGATGTTCAACTGGAATCCGAAAGTTTTTCCGCCGTTTCGTAACCATAGCCGAAACATGGTTCCATCACAATACACCAGAGACCAAGAAATGGTCAAAGAAGGGAACTTTTCCTTGGCGTTAGGAAAACTTTATTAAAAAGCCGAAATATACAGTCAGCGTAAAAAATATGCATACCCTAACGTTTTGGCGATTTTATTATATGGGCGTCTCCATCGGAAAATCTACCGCAAAAAAAAAATAAAAGTCGTGGTCTTTTACAATATATACTGCTTATGTAGGCAGAAACGTTTTTGTGAAAAATGATCTCGCTAGGTGGCGCCAAGGGTCGAGGTATTTTGAAAAACCGTATTAATGGTCCGATTTGGTTCAAATATGTATTTGAAAAATAATAAGTCATAGATTTCCAAAGAAATTTACCTTGAATTGGCGCTGAAGTCAAAATATAAAGTATATTCGACATAACATTCATGTTTCATTTGCGTTAAAAATTCGTTTAAAAGCCATCTTAACAAAAATATCATGATGGAAAAAAATTTCCCGTGCGACATGTCCCGTGCAGTGTGCCCGTTGTGCGGCTAAGGGGACAATTTCACACTTTTTAAGCGCCAATACCCTTTGACCCGACTTTTTGAAATTTTGATTTTTGACCCTTTTCCAGAATTATGTGCGACTTTTGCCCTTATCAGAGATATGTTAGGAAATGTTAACAGCACCATGCTATTAAAAAAATTTTCCTCCTGTAAGTACGAAAAAATACATAACTAAAAACTATATTCAACAATTTTTATGAGCTTGAGGTCGTTTTTAGTGAAAACTTTATTGTTGATAAGCAACAATAATTTGAAAAAATGGTAGAAGTGATAGCTATTTCCGAAATCACCACATTTCCTCATCAGACTTCTTTCAGTAGGATTCGAACCGACGATCACCACTGACTCAGCGAGTTGCCTACGCACTGTGATAAGTTTGTCTTGTTAATTCTTGTTGCTTATTTTCCACTATTTCACTTTGCTAAGCCAACTACAATCAAGCGCAGCTATTCCGCTGCAATTCACTTGATCATGTGTGTTCATCGGGCAAAGATGGTTAAGAGCGCAGTTTTCGGATGTGCCGCAAATTGGTAATGGCCCAGTTTCAAGTTCGCACCGATGTATTTTAATTAGATAAAAAGTACACAAGAAAGTTTGTATGAGCAAATAGAATTTAAATGGTTTTATTGCTTAATATATTAATATGTACAATTGTATTTCAGGTTACCTTATATATATATATGTAGCTGGATGAGGCGATGAAAATTGGTGGCTGCAAGACGTCTACTCAAATGGATATTCGGTAAGCAAGTAAAATCCGTTCTTTTTCTTTTTAATCACGTTAGCCTTTCGAACGGCTTTTTGAGCGAGGGAAATTTTAACATAACTAGCGTTCGACAATAGAAAGCAGTTAACTGTTGTCTTATGTTCAAATGTTAAATATTAGGGTGGCTCTTAAATGGCGTATTTAAGACGCTGGCCTAAACATGCCGGCCCCCTTGCGGCAAGCAATCTGGAAGTTTACGTATTTAGGCCACCAAGTTTCATCGTTTAGTAGATATGTCTTAAAACTAGAAGCGACGTATCCATTTACGTTCCGCATTTGTTGAACCTAAATTCTAGAAAAAATGTAAAGGAAGAAAAAAGTCACAATAAAACGTGGTTTGAAATTCACAAGCACTTGTTTATTTTTATTTCAATTCATGTTATTAATCCAGATTTTCGAAAAAATAAAAAAGTGAATATAAAAAATTTATTGTAATTGTTGGGGGGAAAAATCATTCAGCAAGCACCGGAGAGCACCCACCCGAAGATTGTATTTTGTGCCAATAGTGGGCCCATGGCACCTGCGGGAAGCGCGCCCAGGAAAATCTTGGGGAAAACGTCGGCCCCAAGAACTACTCGGACTGGCGAAGAAATGTGGAACCGCGGGTCAGCCAGTCTTAAATTTGTATATGCTGCGCCAATCAAAGCGTCGATATTCGCGAGCGGGGTTATCTTTTTGAAGCTTCTCACAATAATAGCGTGAGTGGTTACCGTCGCTGTTTGCCCGTATTTTCCACGCATTTTAATAAAGCACCCGCGTTGCTTATTGATGGACGTCACGTTCAAGCGTAGCTCTTGGGCAAGATCTTCGGCTAGTATCGACGTGGCTGCGCATGGGTCTATGAGTGCCCGTATGTGATGTAGTCGGCCTCCTGCTTCTATTTTCACGACGGCGGTGGGCGCTACTGGTGTCTGGCTTTGTAGCGAAATAACAGCTGATCGCCCCATAGTTAATTCCGGATCGAAATCCGCTTTGAGCTTGGCGGTGGAATGCAGAAGATTCCACTCGCCCGCTTTTGATTTGTCGACGGCGAGGGCGGTAACGCTGCTGTCGGGATTTGAAACCTCCCTTGTTTTTTGAAGGCTGGAAAGCTCCGGTTTCCAGTCCCTCTTGATGGTCTCGCTCGTGCTCTGAGTCTGGGCGAAAACGCTGGAGTCCTAATCCCCTCGACCCATCTGGATGGAAAGCGTAGGTTTCCATTCCAGGGGAGTTTGCTGAGCGGAAAGCATCGATTTCCGCTTCAGGTTCAGGGATTTCCCCCTCTTCCAGGCCTGGGCGGAAAGCTGAAGTTTCCGCTCCAGCCTCTGACGCCTCTAATGATATGGCGTCGCTATCGTCGTCTTCGGCAACCGTATTTCTTGGTGGTCGTCGGCTAAAACGCGGCTTGTCGGCACGTGATGAAATATGAAGCAACGTGTGATGTTGCTCCTGGCACTGCCGGCATCTGCCCTCGTTAGTGCAAAGTGCTGCGCGGTGGGTTCCTGCTAAGCAATTGGAGCAGTAGCGATGGATCAATACTTCACGCAGACGCTCTTCGGGCCCTTTAGCACGAAAAACAGGGCAGAGCCGGAGAGGATGCTTCGAGCCGCAAAGTCGACAAGTCAGGGGGTAGCCTCGGGTAGTTTCCGCTTGTTTTCGCATCAACGTGAAGCGGGTAATTTTCTGAAATAGCAGTTTCCCAATCGTAATTAGAACTTTCCAAGGAAACGAGATTGACGGGTGGCGAGCCATAGCGAGGTACAAATTTACGCATTTCTAATGATTGATGGGAAAAACATTCTAACGTTTATACCTGGCTTTATATTGGGGTGGTGAGAGTCGGCAGGGTTCATGGGAACTTTGAGCTGCTTATCTGATAAATAGGTTGCACGGAAAGTGTGGCGGAAACAAATTAACATTTAATTGATGGGTCTATGCATTATAACTTGACGTAGTAATACTGCATTTTGAAATAGATAATAATAAATAATTATGTATTATTCATTATTACCCACCCCATCTATATGAAAAAAAAAAAATGCATATAATTTCCATTACTGCAAGCACTAACTGCACACACACACTATTAAGCGGATCTGCACAAAATTTGCGCAGACTTGCTACAGAAAATGGCAAGTGCAACCTCAGTGTTATTATCGAAAGAACTCTCCATAGTATCGAATTGTTTAGTAGATCGATATCGATAACACAACACTACTTCCGTCAATGGCCGATTCCCAACCACGTTAAATATATTCGTCTTTACTACAAGCATTGTATAGGCTTACAAGTATGGAAAGCGCCATTTTGTTTGTTTACATTTGGAAACAGCTGAGATCACCTGATTTTCAATTCTCTCATTCTCCGCACAGAGTTACATTCAAGTTTCAGAAAAAACTTTAAAATGTAAATTGAGAAATATTTTAGAAAAATGTGTTTTTATTCATTTGAATTCAATAAAAAAGAAATTAAAAATGCGTGCCAAGTCTTGCATTTCCAATAATAACGATAAATGTGTATGTTCCAGGCAAAAATTTAAAATATTTGTGAAACTTATCGTTTTGCGCTAAAATACATCAATGTGTGTGAAATTCGTTGTCATTGCTTTTGTTTTGAACATCATATTCGTGCCTGCTGGTGGAAAAATTAGGTAAATTTGCATTTATTTTTAAGAAAACATATAAATTAATGTATATTTCTTTCCAGAGCGACATATTAGTGCATTGGTAAAGTGCTCTTATCATTGTGTTATAGTCAACTGCAGCCAATCTTCTTTGGACAATAGGTTGTATTGGTGGAGCAGTTTCCTGAGCTTTGGAAGTGTTTGGGCTTGTTCGAGTTGCAATTACAACTGTAGTGTTGCGTGAATAAAGCATCACGTTCGCTGTGAATTTCTAGCAACGTTTTACCAATTAGGATGTTGGAACCGTCTTGCAAATTTTCATCAGCGCTGCAGTTTTTGTGCTTTTATTGCGTGCCTCGAGCAGGCCCTTTATCAGTGAATAGTTGTGGTTGTTGTAGTAGTAGCCGCATTACGAAGCCCGGCCTCAGTCGGTTTTCCATCAACAACAACGACAATAATAACCTGTTTATGCATTCCTGTTTTATTGCATTCCCCTTTCCAAATTAATATTATACTATGTTTAAGGCTCGGTGAAATAAATGAAGCGCTACTGGAGGCAAATTAAAATATCTCCCTCAGCAAAAATGAGACTCTCGCTCATGATGAAAGCATGTTAGTAGTTTATTCTTTGAAACATAACCGAGATAGTCATATTCTAAAGGTATACATTGATATTTTTCATGTTTATAAATTTTAATTGATATTTTTGTTTGTTTACATATTTGACATTCACCACCAGCATCATCAACGCCATCACCAAATTCAATGCCATCAACACCATCAGCGACTAGTAACAATGTTATACCACAGATTTATGGCTAATTACAACGAGGCAAAAAACATATACATATGTAGGAATTGTAAAATTCCTAAAATTTTGCAAAGTTTTAAGAAAACTGCATTTTCTTGAACCACTATAAATGATTTCCAATTGTTAATATATATCAAAAGAAAGATAAATCGATTACCTTTCTTTTAATTAAAATACCATTGAATTCGTTTAACATTTTTATGCAAATTTCGCAACTTTTGAAATCATCTATATGTAAGCAGTGGAAAAGTCCTCAAAGTTTGTAGTTGTAAGAAAAATGAATTTTCGTAAACCACGATAAATGATTTCCAACTGTTAATATATATCAAAAGAATAGTACATTGATTAATATATTATTATTATTATTATAGTTTAATATCTTTATACATAGATTTATTTAATATCCCGTTTTGTAGAATGGTTATGATGATGTCTTAGAAACGCTTGCCATAATTGATTATTAATAAAATAAAGGTTTATACTTTAAAAGGATTTTTTATTTCGAATTGATATTCTTTATTTTTTTTAACTTATTGCTTTTCCACACCACCACTGAGGTTGCAATAAAGGCGCGTTACCGATTTTTTTTTTTTGGGTGTTCGGTTCCCCAGGAGGCCTATTTTCACCCATACTATCTACAAATACGAAGTGCATGCATATAAGAAAATCTAAGAAATAGCAAAATCCACGAAATACGAAAAAACTACACAAATCTACTTGGAAAAAACGACTATGACTAATAATAAAATCTAAGAAATAGCAAAATCCACGAAATACAAAAAAACTACACAAATCTACTTGGAAAAAACGACTATGACTAATAATACTACATACAAGAAAACTACTTTATACAAATTTATATACAATATTTACAAAATCACCCACAGTAAATCCCTTTCTATGAACTGTTATATGGGCTTGCTTGTCTGTCCATTGCATTTTCGGGCGCGATTAAGTTGGTGTAGTGCGCTCACCATACATCTATTCAAGCGAGCCCCAACTAAGTCGGGGGTCGATAAAGTCTGCACTGTGTGGGAGCTCCAATAATCCACTTCTGTTTTTTTAAATTATTTCTACTTACCTGGCCATTTCCCCTTCCAGAGGAAAAGGATAGAGGGGTACTCCCAGAGGGCATCCGGCTATGCACGTTCGGTTTGGCATTTTCACAATCTGAAAACAAAAATGGTATGGCATGAATATATAAAAACAAAAGTTAAAATGCTTCAAAAACTTACGGACAAGTGAGATGATAAATTCGTATGATGAATATCGCGAAAAACCGTTTGCATAAATCTTTGAATCAAAATTTTTATTCAAATTTGTATTTGACAAGGCACATTTGAATTATGAGATCAACAGGGATGCTTTGAAATGTATTTTTTGAACAAAATTTTTTTATAAATCTTGTGATTATTGATTTATTTTAGAATAAGAAAAGCTAGTTTATATTAAAGAATATATTACACCAGAACTATGTAATCTACTTTTATTACGAATTGAAACGATTTTAATGAATATTCACAGCTACCATTAATAGTAGTTTGACAGTTAGATCAAAATGCATA